CTTGCGTCTTACGTGAAAATATTTATCTTCAACAAAATCAAACCTGAAAATCTCATGTAAATCAAACGCAAAAATAGCCTTCACATTATAAGCACTTGCACAAGCCAAACATTTATTGTAAACCATTGCTCACTTACAAATCATTTGAAACAATTTTCAATCTACACATGAAAGCAAAAAAATGAACCAATGGATGTAATCTTTCTTTGATTATGGGCAATCCGACGTCAGAAAGCCAGCAGGGTGGCTGGTTCATCAGACATGTTTCAGACAAGAACACCTATGCGCTCTGAGAAAAATCTGTTTAATTTGAGGGTCTCTGCTTGAAAGGAAGGCAAGGAAGAAACAACTGAAGCCTTGGCCTGAAGGGCTGCACTGAATTATTTTCCTGTACCTGGTGCCATTACAATCAAGTTAAAATTTTATTGGGAGGATGTGAGAATATATTCCATCGCTTCACCCAAAGGACCATCATTAATTCTCAGTTGGCTGACGGAAAATAGTCGAATGCTCACTAATTTTCTCCCTCGTTTTTAACTGCAACGATGAGAGAGGAATGTTTGCACCCAATAGAGAGAGGTGAGCTTAGACGTTGTTCCCTCAAAAATTTCAAAGAAAAAAAATAATAGAAATTCATAGAGGAACGCACTTTTAATTTGTGACTGCGTTTTAGATTGTCATGCGTATTTTATTTAAAAGCATTTTACATGATAACGCAAATAGTGAATGGTCAACCTTACAATCTTATTCAAACAAATAAAAATCCAAGTCAAAAATTGATATGATGATTGGCTGTGCAAGTCATACAGCAAAGTACTCGTAAACATGCATACATACAATGAAGACATTATTATCATTGTGAAGTTGTGGTTTTAGGTAGTTGAATAAAACCACATTTTTCAATTTGTTCCTGCACATCGTGTGAATATTGCAAAAAATAAATCATATGCGAATCATGATTATCAGGGGATAAGTGCTTGAAGCATTTCAGGAAAATTGGAAAACAAAATTGTGACATAGAATTGCTATATAGATTCATAATCCACATTTATGCATGTAAACGAATTCGTGCGTTTCAGCGAGAGTAACTCATGACACATGAGTTAAAGCTTTGCGTCGGAGATAAGTCAGTGTCAGAGTAAAATTCTGTCATTTTACAATAATCTGGAATTTTCTAAAATCCTATAAAGTGAACAAACCGACAGTTTTTGATGGATTAATGTTGTCCAGCAACCTCCATCAATGTGAAGGTTGTAGTTTAGGCCCAATTTGACACTTGTTAGTTGTACCCACCACACCTTATAACTATACCCTCATTCTGTTTGTAGCACGACACAGCATATGAACCTTCAGTGCAGGTAGTCTGCAGTACTGTTTGAGCTGACGGGTTAAGCAGGATTTAAATGCTTTTATTTTCACATTGTTCACGTCAGAATTTACGAAGGTCTAAAATGAGACACACATTTCTATAAAGGTTACAGATCGTAGCTTTAGATACTTACCAGCCAAAAACAACTCGGGTGGTACATACATACTTCGTCGATGAAAGTGACAATCTGCAATCTGAACTCACGCCCTGTCAAAATGACAAATCCTTCAAATTGGTCTATTTAAGCATTACTTGCAGTAAATAGAGAATCACACTGAACTCCGTTGTTGTTGGTTATACCTTTTTTCTCATTCTCCACCTCGGGCAGACGGGATGTCAAGATGGAACGGATGAGATTCTTTTCCGTGAAGAGTATTCCAGTTTCCAGTGCTTTATACTAAATAGGATGGCGATGGAATATGTATACAACTTAATGTCTTGCGGTTGAGAATTTCACACAGTTAACACATATCCAGACACGACATGCAACAAAAACTAGTTGTTTCATAGTGAAATTGGAGTTTATATTTTGTATTTTCGGTAGGAGAGATATTTTCCTCGGCAGGCGTGTAAACATGGCATAATTCCAAAATTCTCTAGTAATCCTTGAACACGTTTTACGTCGTCGCCGAAACATTGAGGACTCCAAGTAAAAGTTATTAGTTATAAACCAACTCCTTTATTAACCAATTCACACGTATTACGTTTGATCATTGACGGTTGTTCGCTTTTATTAAATAACGATTTTTCTTTTTAATTACCATAAACATTTGCAGATCCGAGCAGTTTATTTCGTAATTAATAGGGAAACATGACACATGATGACAGATAATGGGCAGGTTTGAATTCGTATGTGAACTTTAGTTGGAATTTCATATTTATAGGTATGAAGAAATACAACTGTAAAATCAAGGAAATGCATGAAATAATCGCATTTTTTAGTCATGCAGTAGGCAAACACATAAATAAAGAGAATGCAGCGAGAAGAAAAGCTACTGTTCACAAATGAATCGAATTAAAAACGCCAATCATAATAAATTATGTCTGCTACTCCCTTCTTGTCGTGAGTCATGATGTATGTGCATATCTACCAATGATAGACTACCGCGATCATATTATGTACAGTTTAGTCCGACGCTGTGTATGGGTGTACATAAAAACCAGTAACAATGCAGATGCTAATAATAAGATGAATTATTATAACTTGCTTTTTGATTCTTTTTGCCTCTACCATTACCGTATTAATTACTGCTACTAATCCTAAACGATTTTCAGGAGGTAAATACAATTCATGCAATAAGTTGGAACCAACGTGCTTAAAAGAGTCATAAAATACTGTGATATTGACCCTTGTGTAATCTAACCGTACATACGTATTTACGTATGGGACTCGTAGTTACAGGCTGGCCACTAATTCATTGTATAATGCTCATTAATTAGGCAGTTCTGTCGGTGATGGAGTTCCTTTTGCTTAAATGAATGTTGTTTCTATTTGATTAATTACCACACAATAATCATCTAAAATCTAAAAAACATTAAAGTAACAAACGAGTGTACTGGTCTATGCATATTGAGAAGACTGACGTAAAAAGCCTCTGGAATTTTTAATCTGTTTCAGCTTAAACTCGTGATATCCCAGGTTGAATAAGTTGTAATCATTATTATTATTTCTTCATCCTGCCGCAAACAAACCTGATTTTAGTCCCAGAATTCAAGGACAGATTGTTAATAAGATGACCACATGGAGCTGGCTACTGAATTATGGTAGCTTGAATTGTCTGGTGGTTATATACTTGATCCCTGCAGATATTAGTTTATGCGGGACAGTTGAAGTGAGGGTGGAAAGGCGAGTTGTATCCCAGTAGGAATCTGTACGATAAACAAAGGAAGAAACATGTTTCCATTACTCGCAGCAAACCAAATTGAGATAAGACAGTAGTGCGATGTTATCTAATTAATTTAATATTTTATGAGCAGTGCGCTACCTAATATCTCCTTTGCTCCTTTGCATGACTATCCGGGCACAAGTTGCTTAATTTTCTAAGCGTCACTCAAGTAGACTCTCTCTCTCTCCCTCTAACATGAAGAATTTAACGGCCTCATGTAGATAATTTCTCCCCGTATAGTTTACACGGCGACTATGTAAATACATTTTATGTTGGATTTCAAACTAAATAAAGTTTCACACATAAATTTTACGAGGAGACATGATAATTCAAATTCTGCTCCTGTTATACAACTGCTTGTTATATCAAATTCTTTGAATATTTATATTTGAATTAATTATTCAAACCTTGTGAATGTAGTGCATTGCATTTTAATAAACCGTCGTCAGAATTTGATGCACAGGGGAATACGACATCCGTGACAAAGAGAAATAGAATCTAATTTAAGAACTATTTGAAATTAAGTTCATGCGTGCAGCCAGTGCAGGTTGCAGACTGAGACTTGCTTACAAGTAAAGTAGATGAATGTGTGTCTAAGAATATTTGAGATTTATGCTTAGAGTATTTAATAATAATAACTAGAGTAGAAAAGCCCCCAAAATCAACAACTTTTTCTGTTCCGATACAGACAAAAATAAGGGTGCAATAATTTTTTGTATGACAACAATGTCACATAGTTTCATAAAAAATCATTCAAAACTTTGGATTTTGAATGAAATTCTATTTTTCGCCCTTTTCCACACATTACTTTTACGCTCAAAATGGGGAGAAAATTATTTTTTTTGAAACTATATGACATTATAGTTGTTATACAAAAATTATTGCACCCTTATTTTTGTCTGCATCGGAACAAAAAAATTTGTTATTTTCAAAATTTACCATGGGTTTTTCCACTCTAGATATTATTATTAAATACTCTAAGGATTTATGTACATATGTAAAATTACTTCACATTTTTTATTAGGATTGCCTTACTTGAAAATTGAACAAATTGCGAAAAATCTAGACTTGATTGTCAGGAGTAATTATTATCTTCTTCTTTGGATGACAGTGCCGTATATTTTTTAAAAATTGCATTTAAATGGAAATACGCCGAGACTTAAATGGACATTAACACCATGCATAATAAATGCAGCGTACATTATGACATTGCAACACATACATTGCGAGTGAAATGAGTGCAGTTTTTTCTAGTGATTGTACATTTCCTGCCACACAGGTAGAAGGCATCAAAGCACAAAATGTCAAGGGTCAAATTATGTTCGTGTGCATGTGGTCGGAAGGATTATTTGAATCCATTTCTAAACCTTCTTACTTGTCGCTTGTTTACAACAACGAGCTGAAATCGGATTGAGAAACTGAGATCGCGTGTTTGTTCAGATAAGATGTACACACCTTGTGTTTCGTGCCAGCGATTAGTGTTGGACGTTGTAAACGAAGTTGGATGGAAATCTGGAATGTTGTGTTTTATTATTTAGAAAATAACAGGATGAATCTAATAATTCTTTGCTTGCATGTAAACCAGGCCTTATTTGCTTTACTGCGTACTTTTTTTCTAAATTTTGTTGACGATTTTTGAGCCAATTTATTTACACAGATTTAACAAGTTGGGCCATTTTTATTAATGCAAGCTATTTAAAATGTGAGAAAGTTGGCGACGAATAATAATAATATTTACGGTGGTGGTGCCATTCTTTCCTTAACCCCTTCAATTCCCTTCTTTTTCATGGTGTTAAAAGGAGACTCCAAATAACAGCATTTGCTTTACAGTTACAGTTTTATTTTAAGAAAATATTGCCCTTCAGTACAAAATAGCCATTTAGTAATACATCCAACCCCAACAAACAACATGTTCAAATTAATTTTTGCCTTCGCAATTTTTGCCTCGCTTAATTCAAGTGTTCAGAGGTAATTTAAATCACAAAATACTTATCATACCAAATTTTTAAAAGTGTTTCTAATAATAAAAATAAATGTATACAAATTCAACAGCCTCACGAAAGAGTACAGCTCGTATCGTCCATTACCATTGTGCCGACCTTCAGATTTCGTTCGCTATCCTGAAACGATTCAAGACGTACAAAGCATTGTGCTGGAAGCTATTGCCAGAAACATCACAGTCAAAGTTTTCGGTGCTCGGCACTCGCAAACAGACATCATTTGCACGGAGGGGATTCCAGTTCAAAACATTGGTTTGAAATATTTTCAAATAAATGCTGACCAAACAGCAACATTCGGTTCGGGTGTCAGCTTGTATGAAGCCAATGAATTTCTTAGAGCAAATAACAGAGGGCTTAAAACAACGCCGGCTTTTGGCAACATAACACTCGGTGGCGCAATTGGTACAGGATCACATGGCTCAACAATTAAACATTATTCGTCCATCTCTTCGCAAGTTATTTCATTAGTTGTTGTGGATGGATTGGGTAAACTTGTCCAAATAACGGACGAAGCGGAGCTCAGATCATTTAGGATAAATTTAGGCCTTTTAGGCATCGTTGTGAGGATTACTCTGCTAACACAACCACTCTATAAAGTCATCGCACATAATTATGTCACCAGTGAGGACGTGTTGACAGATGGTACAGCGATCCAATGGGCAAGAGATGCTGATCAAATGTCAATCTACTGGTTTCCAAGTGCAAGAGAAGTGATCATTGCCAACTCTTTTTTAGATCTATGTATATACACTGTATTTATATATTGCATTATATATTGCATTATAGTAATAATAAAAACTAACATTTCAAGAAAGGAAACAAAGCAATTAAATTAGAACATTAAGTTCATCTTGCCATACGAGTCGCTACTTCGAACTGCATGTCTGGAATTTGCCATATGCTTATTGTAATATGTAAGAGTGGGATATTCAAGATTACATGGCAAGCAAGCATATCCTTTCAAATTGTGAATGGTCGCATGTGCATTAGTTGCAAGGTGTCTGTTATGTTCGATAGACTTATTTGTTGCATAGTTACATGGTGCGCAGCGAAATCTACCGAATGTATTTTTGTCCCTACAATAAGGAACATGAACATCGTACAACGTCTGATTGTATGTATTGAACATACAATGCGGGCATTTTTTTAGAATTATTGGCCCGTTACATCCTGGTTCATGTTTGTTCCCATCATGTACACTCCGGAATCTAGCACCACATTCTTTGGAGCAAGAGAAAGGTCTTTCACCTGTGTGGGACCGAATGTGAAGAATTAATGCATATGGGCTTTGAGAATTTGTGTGGCAGTATGGGCATTCATTATTGCGATCCACAATAAAAGGTGGACTGCATATCATTTTTGGTGAATCTTTGATGCTTGGATAATCTGGTGATGCAATTTGATTTGAACATTTAATATTAACGTGATCGCTAAGTGCCATATTCATAGTATACATAGGTTCTGCAGTCTGATTAAACTGCTGCATTTTCTTGGAAATAAATACGTAATCTAGTCTGCTTGATATCATACCATCAACGAAACCGGAAAAACCGTACCGGGTGTAAACATTATCAGGCCATAATTTCTCCATGACATTTAGAAATCCATGATTTTTTAGTGTTTTATCCAGTTTGTCGTACATTAAAGACCGTCCATCTGGTTTAGCATCCGATTTCAGTTTTTGCATATTAAAATCACCCAGCCAAACAACAAAGTAGTCAGCAAGTTTGGTCGACAAAGCATCAATCGTGGACGCCCAATTTTCTCGTTCAGCTGAGCGTCCAGGTTTCGAGGATTGACATGGAAAATAAAGATTGAGAAAAATAATTTCTGCATTCATCAAATTGCTTCTTACTTTCACCATCATTAATCTCTCAGGATTGATTGGAGATTTAATATCTGGAAAAGCTTTCTTTATATCAATATGCTCCACTGCCAAGTTTTTGTAGAACATACATGTACCATAATTCCACCATAAGTTGTTTGTAGGAGAAACCGTTGCGGCGTTGAATATACAATTAAAACCGTGTTTATTCAGTAATTCCTCAAACAACGACTCTTTAGTATGATCTAGTTTGGTTTCCTGAATAAAAACCAGATCGCTACTGATCCAGAAAGGTATCATGGATTCAACTTTAATTTTATTCAAACCATCACTATTCCAAAAAAAGTAATTCAATGAATTAGTATTGTCAGAATCTGACATTTTCATCTTTTTTTCCATTTTGAGGAAGGACACAAAGTCCTTACCTTTAACCGCACAAAGCAGTAAAGTTCTGAACCGCACAAAGCAGTAAAGTTCTGAACCGCACAAAGCAGCTTTATTAAAGAATAACAATAAATAAATAATTATTAAAATCTAAATTAAAAAAATAAAATCGAAGAAAAACGCAGCAGACGCCGATGCACCAATTGAAAAATAAGAATTCTGCAAAAAAACAAATCAGACGGTAAGATTAATTAATTTTTGTTAACCTAGCTTTATTATTAAATAATATGTTCATTACCCTATACTGCCGTTGAATATTAATGCCCCAAACGTTGATCCTTACCAGCATCCAAAAGAAACAAATGCGAAAACTCGAAGAAAAGCGACGACAAATCAGATAAACGGATCCCTATATAAATAATAAATTAATCCCAACTTTGCTAACCTAGCTTTAATTCATTTAAATGAATTTAACTTACCTTGGAGGGCACGACGTAGAAACGGAGACGATGGGGGGAAGCACGAAGTCGAATATTATGGTGATATTAACTAAATGTATAGAATACACGAATAATAATTATTATTAGGAGCTCATCAATTGATAATTAGCAAATAAATTACCAAATTACCAACTTTATCTTTGGAGTGAAAAGAAACGTCGACCCTGAATGCTCGTCCAGAAGAAATGAGTGAGTGAGTGAGTGAGTGAGCGAGCAGCAGTGGTGGTGGTGGTGGTGATATATAGTATAATAGTGCCGGACTTGTGGGATATATACTATATATCACCACCACCACCACCACTGCTGCTCGCTCACTCACTCACTCACTCACTCATTTCTTCTGGACGAGCATTCAGGGTCGACGTTTCTTTTCACTCCAAAGATAAAGTTGGTAATTTGGTAATTTATTTGCTAATTATCAATTGATGAGCTCCTAATAATAATTATTATTCGTGTATTCTATACATTTAGTTAATATCACCATAATATTCGACTTCGTGCTTCCCCCCATCGTCTCCGTTTCTACGTCGTGCCCTCCAAGGTAAGTTAAATTCATTTAAATGAATTAAAGCTAGGTTAGCAAAGTTGGGATTAATTTATTATTTATATAGGGATCCGTTTATCTGATTTGTCTTCGAGTTTTCGCATTTGTGTTGGCCATTCTTCGAAGGTAAGCTATTATTTTAAAAAAACTGTACAGATTAAAGGTAAGTTAACATGTAAGCAACCCTGTTGTATTTGTCGTGCAATTTTTAGATGAACTACATGGAGTTGAGCTACAAGGGACCCCCCGACGGCCTTCGACGCGCAATTCTCGGTGATGGTGGATTTCGGGGTAATCGAGGAGGACGTGGAACTCGTGGAAGGGGTGGCCGTGGGGGTGGAAGGGGATTTCGAGGTGGTCGTGGGGGTGGAGGTGGTTTTAATGGTGGCCGTGGGGGTGCCGTGACAAAGAAAGGTATATATGTCTTTTATTTTCAATACAATGCAAGATTAATGTCGATTTAAAAAAATGATCATAGATAAGCGTAAATGTGCAAAATGCAAGGAACGCGGACATATTGCAGAGTATGTATTCAATTTTACTTCATTACATTCGTTTAGGATTAGTCCAATTGGTCTTACGAATATTTCATTTTATTTTCAGTGCGTGCCCATACACTGAAGAAGAAGCCTCGTCCAGAAAGGTTGCCGCACTTCAGAAACACGCCGACGCGGCTGTCGCCGTTGCTGCCGCTGCTGCCGGGAAAACCGTAGCTGCTGCAGCTACTACTGCTACATCTTCCATGACTACTACTGACAGTGTTGATCCTGCTTTTAAGCCACCAGGATGGAAAGCAGGCGTCAATATTCCATGTTTACATGATGTTGCCATGAATTAGTATTGTTATTTTTATCAATACCATTTTGATTTTTTTAATAAATTGAATCCTGAATTAATTGTATTCATCAGTCAGAATGCACGTAAAAAATGGCAGTATTTATGACGGATTAGGTCCCTCTGTAATATGCATCACAATTTGCCCCTATTTCGTTTTATTAATTTTTTAGAGAAAGTAAAAATATCAATGCTTTTCTATAATCCTAAACTACAATCAATTCTGGTTGATGATGTCGACACTCCTGGCGATGCATACACAAATGACCATGTGCCATCAACTTACGCCAGTTTCAATATTTTTGCAAAAGCCATGATCGAGTTGACCTCAACACTCACGGAAAGCTCTTGTGAGGCGGCACGAAAAGCAGGGTTTGATGTGCTAACTAGTGTACAAGTGGTAACGCAAAAAACGTTAACTTCACAAGTGCCAGATTTTGTTCCAATTTACACAGAAGATGGGAAAACTGTTTTAAACCCTGCAGTGGGGTATTATGATAAAATGTTTGCCCCTATATGCAGCGATACCAGTACAAAAATGAGTTCCTTACAATGTCTTTTCTCTCATGGAAATGTGTATGCAAATATCACAATACTGGACAACGAGATGTCCGTAGACTTGGATGAGTTACCCAAACTTATCAATGCGATTAAGGATATTCTGAGTAAAGCTCCAGCTGCATTTCCATTTCAAGGCATTCTCCTGAGGTCAAAAATACTGTCTATGTCAAAATTGCATAAACTAATACAAGTTTCTCATTTAATGCTAATTCATTTATTTATAATACCGGTATAAGTAAAGGTTTTCTGCCAAATCGACCGATTTCATGTCCACATCTTATGGCAGAGACAGTGTTAATTTTGAATTTTATATTGCAAACCGCAAGAACATGTATCAAAAAGCAGCGTCAGGACTTGCGGCTTATCAAGCAATAATGCAACTCCTTGTAACTACATTTTTTCCTATATTTAAAATGATTACGTTCCGCGACGTCTAATTATTCGGTAATTTTATGATAGGCAAGACAATTTTCGGGAAGATCTCACTGGGGCAAGAGTGGAATGGTTTATCATAGCTCAGAAATGTTGGATTTAAAGCTTGATCCCTCTGCGAGAGCAGCGTTTATCGGTACGCACATTGCATTATGATAAACATGATGTAGACATTTCTTTCAATTATAAATATAATTTTAATTTTTTTAATTTCAGAAACAATGAACAAATTTGACCCAAATGAAGTTTTCATAAACAATTTTGGCAGAAGATTGAAAAAAACTTCTTCCAAACAAGATTTGCACCCTGCAGAAATTCATTGTGGAATTCGAGACAATTGTTTTTGTAGTAAAAATTCTGATTGTGCAGTTACGCAAACGTGCACTACATTTCCAAATTCGACTTTTCGGGTTTGTCAAACGATTGGTGAAACTCCCATAAATTTTGATTCTTTCATTCTTCTCAGTCCAGAGATGAACATAACTAATTAGTTAAGAGACACTGTTATAAGACTGACTAATTTAGTACAATATTTTACAACTGCTTTGGGTTGTATAATTTCAATTATAGTTCCTGAATAACACTATAAATTATAACTGATTTCAAACGTTTATACGCTTTTAATGCAGGTGGTGTAGCAAGTTAAGGAATATTAAATAAATTGCACAAAGCAATAAAAAACGAAACATCGCTTGACTTGGGTTGGATGATATTGATTAACGCTGTAGATAAGGTTTTGTTATTGTGACATTCATTTCCGTTGTGCACATTTTTCTTGCCCATCAATCAGAGCAAATATGACAAAAATGCCAGCATTTTATGACTGATTGGAGGGAAAGAGGGTAGACGGTCCTGTTATATTGGTCGAATGGAATCACTCCTCTTTCCCTTTGTGGTTTTATTTCGTAATTTTGATCTAAACCATTATTCGATATCAGTGATAACCATCAAAATTAGTTTGTCTCATCAAAGGAGAGTAACATTAAATCACAACTGACTGCAGCTCGGTAGCATATATTCTTTGTCCTTGTAAGCCAATAAACAAATGAGCCAATTAAGCCCAAAACAATGGTGGTAGTCGTGTTCGAACTCCAAGATGACAAGAATGTAAGCAGCCACTTAAGTCGTTAACGGTAGGCTAGTTCATAGCACCTCAATTTCATGAATAAATTCATTTTCGTTACACCAACAAAACCAGGTTGTGATGAGACACGTTGCGGATGATCCTCGTGCGCGATGGTTGGTTAGGTCGTTGGAGTGAAGGAGACTTATTAGATTGGGAAGGAACTGAGATCAAAAGGAGCAAGTCAAATTGGTTTCCTTTTGGCTCATTATAATTGACAAATTCTGATTCTCACAAGTCAAGATGCCAGTTGGGTTGTTGGTTCGAGTCAACGCTGTGTGTGATCACTGGAATCCATCTTTCGCTTGGTCATATGGATACGTACCGCTTGAGTTTCTTCGAACTGTTCTCTAAATGCCTTATTGCCTATACCCTGTTATGCACATAATAATACCGAGTCATCAGCGATCACCACGATTTCTTCAACTGACAAAGTCTCACTTCCTTTAGCAACCTAACCTAACCTACGACGAAGAAACCTCTCTTTCTTTCTTTCCCTTTGCGTCCTCCGTCGTTATACATCTACCCATCAAATGACGACCAAATTAACGAAGCAAATCAAGAGAAAGATTCCATTCCAATGCTGCATTTAAATGTCTGGTTTATATATTTGCTGGTGTGTATATGGTCTACGGAGTGATGGTGGATATCTATACACGAGAACACTGGATGTGGCGCATGATAACTTTCTTCGCATATTCATTTTCCACGAAATTTCATCTATCAATCTTCCCGAGACTTTTCTCCTCGTCGTCGGCAGTCTCCCTCTGTTTCGTTGCTTGATCTCACTGCAGAGAAATATTTTATAATATCGACTTTTGACTTTTCATCAGTAGCAAAACAGGGAGTTTCACTAAATTCGAGCAAGAGAGAAGATTCTCTTGAAAAGGAGGGTGAAAGTGGAGAAAAAGTTTTGTCAACTGCCAACTAATTTTAACTTGGGTTTAGGATGGCTCCAGTAAACTCCAACCAACCACCACAGTCATCAGTTGGATAAGTTAGATTTGTAATTTCATCGGGAGTCGTGCTTTTCTGAGAAAAGTTTCATTTGAGACAAATGTGCTGATGATGATTCGATCCCGTCCGTTGATATGGTTCAACTTTTGAACTCGGAAACTTTTTTATCATCAGATTCAGACGACGTTTGACTAATTTTTCACATCTATTAATTTTCCAAAAGTTAATCGGTATTGCATTTTACAGTTTTGTCTCGACGAATAAACAAGTTGTTTGACTTGACTGTATGTACATGTACCTTACATCTTACGGAGGAATAAAATATACATACATATACATTCATACATTAGACACTGTAAATGTAAATATGTAGTATATGGCTTCGCACTTGTCGTACTCGATTGTCATTTAATAAGAGGCTACGAAAAATACCTATATAAAGATTGCACCTGGCAATAATAAGTCTCTCTTCAAAAAATTTGGACAAGTAAAACGCTCTTTTTCCATCAATTTTCGAATATACACATACCGTAAATATTTAATAAGATGGAAACAGGTTACAAAAGCTTGAGCTTATTATTATCGCAACAACGGGCTCGCCATATACATATCTTTACCTTCGTCGTCCCAGAGCTTGTCCTCCGTTGTGAAATTCTTACAATTTTTCTACAACGCCGCTGTGAGGATAGTGGTCCCGAGACCTTTTTGATATTCCATAAAGAATACAAAGCTCACCACATCAGCCGCAACAACAACAACAAAACAACCTACGAGAGAAAGATCAGTCTCTCTCGTACCCTCAACTTCTGCATACGCGATATTACGTGAACCAGGCCGAGAAACTTGGCCACCCAACAACCTTCCCAACCTTCACGAACAAGCGAACAACCAAAACTCGTCGTCGTCTCAACTCTGCTCCTCGTCTCCAGTTCAACACCGCTTTTCGTGGAGTGAACATCGTCCACTCCTTCCGCTCTCTCACTCGCAGAAGAGTTTCATCGCACTTTCAACCAAGTGCTTTCACTCGGATTATTGCCTAACACAACCATTGCTCCTACCTTCGTCTGATCTGATTTCACCTAGTTTCATAACCATTGAGAAGGACGGCAAAGTGTGAAAAAGTGTAAAGTTTGAAAGCTAGTAGAGAAAGCGATTGTAATTCAGCAACAGTATAATTTTATTAAAGTTTTCGTGTTTTGTAAATTGTGAGTAAATCGGAATTCACTTGGTAGGTAAGCCTGGTCTAACTTGTTTCGCGTTGTACGTACGTATCGTAAAATTACATAAAATTAACTTTCCACAACTTTTCAAATCTCAAAACCGTTCAGGTGATGGTGCGAATAGGTGACTTTCTTATGCAAAACAAAAACAAGTTGGTGATTTGACTTTGTTTATGTGATTATATTTTTTTTAAAAAACGATTTTATCGCTGGAATTACTAAATTATGGTGACACATGACAAAACAAACCAGATTCTCGTGAAATAAATTTGTGGATAAATTTTGATGTGCATTTCCATTAATTTTAAACATATATATTGTCGTTAGCCAATTTGAAATTCCAGGCCAAACCGCACTTTACCAGCTTTATTATAACCTAAACAGTTGCAATTTAAATAATTGATGAGACGGGTCTCAATTAGTACGTCGTTTGATTCTCTGAAATTATTGGAATGAGAAGAGTAAACAAATCTCGTAACGTTTGGGATTTGGGTATTTGTTGCACACGAGAAAGGATTATATTAATGGCTGCAATTGCGGATTGAGTTTAATCGGATACCTTGGTTTGAAGTGGCTGATGTGAACCCTTTAATCATGCTGATGTCTGCTCCGATATACTTTCACTACTGGCAATTTTTGAACTTAAGCCATGAAATTGAATCCTACCAATAAACAGTATTATCTGTACTGGACGTGTATATAAATAGCTTATCACTGAAAGAGTTGCAACAAGTACAACCCATTCAAGACTTACGTAATATTTATAATTTGAAGCAGTTTTGGAACAATTTTATTCAATACATATGAATGTGAGTGAAAGTATGTATTTTCGATTTTTGAAATAATATGGATTAAAGTAAGTAAACATGGCAGAATTTTAGATTTCTTTCCACTCAGGATAGAATAGAATATTCCTCGGAAAGACTCACAACTCATACCAAGTTGACTGATTTGTGTGGTGCACACACACACTTGAGACTTGAGAATCCTAGTTGGATTAGCTGACCTGGCTCAATTCGATGCTTTTTGGTTGGAAGTTGCAGCTCCTAAGGTGGATGTCACACAGGAGATGAAAATTTTGTTTACGGAAGTTCCGTCGAACCCACCCACTAGGAGTTTGAGAGAAACACACGTGCCTCCCGAGTCGTAATCCACAATTCACTGCTGCCGAAATGGAGAAAGTTTTAAAGGATTCTGTCATCGATGTCTGGATGCACGGTGGGTGGGTGCATGCATGCTTCAGACAGGGTTCAGTCAGTTTATTTCCCATGATTTGTTTTATATCTTTCTTGGTGGCACACAGGAGTTGAAACTGAGAGGATAGAAGAGAAGAAGAAAGTAACCAATCTGAGAGAATTTTGACATTCCTTTTTCTAGAATTGCTCAACCCAAACAGGTCGTGTTGACTTTGAATAATAGACGAGGTGAGGTTGTAAATAAAAGATAAAATAGGAAACCAATCATTTAAATCCCGATTGTTTCGCTCCACAACTTGTCCGCCCGTACTTGTGGAAAAAGTTTCCACAATGGTTTATGCTCACTTGGCGAAAATAAGTATTTTAAAATAACTTTGGTGATAAAGCGAGTGGTTTTTCAGATTCCATCGGGAGCAATGCAGAATCAACGGATTGAAATCCCATTTGCATAATTGACAAGCCGTATTGAAATATCAAGCACTTTTAAAGTGTATTTGGGTACAATAGAATATTATACAATGCAATTAAAATTTAACTTTTGTGCATCTAATCGAATTTGCATAATATACGCGAGAGGTTCGGTGTGGGCATAGGAGACAAATTACTGTAACCCGAATATGCAAGCTTGCGTTAGTTTCAACTTTTTGCCATTGTTGCGTTGGAACGATTGTAAGGAATTGCAGTGACAGAAGGTTCGAGAATAAAGGTGAACTAAATATGTACGAATTCAGAATTCGACACTTGTAAATATTAGCTCGCCAAGGGAGACGAGATAAGTGTGCTTATGCTTCTTGATTAATTTCAGCGTTACAATTTAAACTAAAGACCACAACGCATTCAGTACTCGTACACATGCAGGTACGTGCACACAAATAACAACGGCTTATTCATGGCTTAGGATTACTTGGTTTGCAATTATTATGCGAGGCATATCCCACGAGTGTCATCTTGAATACAACGAATATTTTATTGATCACTGGATTCACTTGATTTAGTGATGTGAAGTGTGTACGCAAATATTGTACTACTCATACATGAATATTTGCTAAATTCAAAACAGTGAAATTTGCTATTCTATTAGTGATAGATTATGTGACAACTGTCATTGCGAGACACACAATGCCGAGAAGAGACTAATCAAGAATTCCAACTCCCATTTTGTACGCGGACGTTGACTTGTTTAATTCGCCCTCTAGAAAATTAGCAGTATGACTGTTGATGATAATTCCCAAAGTTAACAATGCCGTTGTGTACTTGATTATGTGTCTCTCGCGTGCATGCATATGTAGTAAGTTCGTATCTGCACCAACCATCAACCTCCACCTACGGTAGATTTAAGAGATGTCGATTAAGTTTTCGTCATTGTCCCGTTTACCGTGGGTCTGGAAATGACATTTGAGGTTTAGACAACAGTTGAGTAATAATAATTACAAATATATGTACAAACATGCTAGAAAATTTTGTGATGTGAATATATGCGAGACTCACACACAGCAGGGCCAGCATGCGTACATACTGTACGTCCCTCCTTCAATTGTAATCCAAAAATAAATCAAATCTGTGTACCATTGGTTCATTTGAATGCACAATACATCGTTTCATATCGAGTAACTGGAGAACAATAAATCCTCGAATATCTAACGTCATGATCATCGCGGCTGTTTATCGGGTGATATTAGTGTTAAAGTACATACACACTTCTACCATCTACTGCAAACCACTGCATGTGCGAATTTTGTTAACATATGATTAAGCTGCATTGTCAGACTAGCTCTCCGGAGCACTCTGATCTTGGGTTTCTTTAATGCAAAAAGCGTTTCCGAATAAATCGAGTATTGATCATGATTGCATTACTTTCACATTCAACATCAAACCAAAACGGAAAGAACTGTAGAATCTGCTGACTGGTGGTGGATATAGTTGTTCCTCGATATGTACTCTCTCAGAACCGTGTCCTCACCTCGGTCTCGGGGAAAGGATATCCTTTTATTGTTGGAGAATGTGATGTTTGCTCTTTTCTACGATGTCTGGCATTTCCACGAGAAGCGTGCAAAAATTCTAAGAATTTGTGAGAATTCCCAGCAGCATAAGAATTCAGCCTTGTGCTCAAATCTCATCCTTTTCTGGAAAGATTCGATTCTGGATATGAATTTCTCCAGGCTTGATACGTGTAAAGCATGCACTTTGAACCAACCAGTGCAAATTTTCCTCGTATATATATTCTGGGAAAATTCCCCTGTTTTGTGACATCACAAAGTTGCAAAACTTGTGGTTGATAGTCGCAACTCGCATACATACATACATATTTATGCACGTCCTTGCCATGGTACAAGCAATATTCCTACCTAACCAGCGCACACAATGCATTCTGTAGTCACACCCATTAGCATTATGTTCCGTAGCATTATTCGCACAAAAGTTTGGGTATGTCAGCCCAGCACATCCAGCAATTTATTTTGTATAGAATTATTCCGTAAGAACATGGGTGAAGTTACTCTTCTTACACACAAACTTTCACTGCTGTTCTTGTCTCTTGAGGTATCACATTGTGCAGCAAGAATTTGGCGAAATGCGCAAGGTGTCAATGAAATTTTTTGCAGTCACGCAAATTTCATTTTCGCATTTAAAATAAGAAGCGATCCACCCAGATTGGATTCGGTGGAGGGATTCATGACGAGCAATAGTTGGTTGGTTGGTTGCAAGATTTTATTTCTCTGTGATTTGAAAAGTCGTATTCCCATCGCAGATCTCATATAAATCGAGGCAACAACCCTGAGTCGAATTTTAGTTTGGTTCAGTTCACACTAACCATGTTTAGCTCACCAGCTCGCCACGATGATGGTTAGTACATACATTCATACATATATATAAAATGAGGTTCTGTCTCGGTTTTCTTCATGTAATTTCTCGGCATTTCAATGCATTGCCATGTTTGAACTTTTTATCCAGAATTTTTTATCTTATCATATCGCATCACGTACTTTTCTATTTTATGATAACCTCTTTGGTGTTACAGCACGAAAGTTGAATCGAAAATCAAACAAGCTCTTAGAGTCGTATAATGTCTGTATTATGTAATCCTCAAAAATGATATTTTACTTGTTGGCATGTTCTTCATAAAAACCCACCACATTTATATATGTATAGTGAACATTTGATTTATAGGCATGCTTTATGAAGACGAAATGTGCAAATTTAATTCCAAATGTGATTTGCAAAAGGACAATATGTTAAATAATGTAGCATCAGGAAATAACCGTTTTGTCATATTACAAGTTTCAATTTCCCTGTCACCACTCTTAAGTTCGAATTGCTACCTATGCACATAATATCTTGCTCGCGTTTGAAAATAAGTCGCCAGTATTTGTTACAAGTTATGTCAAGTCAACCAGATCCGCTTCTGCCCTTTCACTTTCACTTCACATTTTGTGTTGTATATTCCACAGGACCGAAGGACCAGTAGTGGGCACCCGACAAGAAAATTGTCCAAAAAACAAGATTGGAAAAACGTCTCCCAGGGAAGTAAAATAGACAGAAACAGTGAAAAAGTGGTTGGACATTGGAGCCCTCGAGTGAGAGTCCTCCTCCCTCCCAACCAAGCCGAGTGGTGAAGATCAGTATCCTCAAAAGAAGCGTTGGGATCCGTATCAGCAGACTGATTGATCGATTGGGATCGAGGGAATCAGCAGTAATGGGACTGACAGGGACCTTTCTTAAGTGAAGGAAGAGACTGCCGAGAACGAAGAAATCGTGTTACCCCACCCGAACAAACGAATGCGAATACAAGTTCGCGATAGAAAACTAAGCCAGACGGACACAACTACTGTACTCGTCGCGTATGTGGAGTGACTTTCTCTCCTGAGTGATCCGCGTCGTCCAAGTCTCATACAAGATTTAATAGCCTTCTCTCCTTTCCAACCAACAACATCCCTTCACGTTTGCCCAAGCCACGCCGAACCAACATACTGACTGAGGCGAAAGACACTTTAGTGCGTCTCTTTCCACATTTGGCCCACCGACGGAAAAGACGGATATTTAAATCATTGGATATACACAAAATCTTGAAACGTCGTCCTCCACTTACTGACAAACCCTTCAGGATTTGAACTGAGGAGATCATTGTGCTTCAAGTTTGTGGTCGTTATGTCATTGCACAGAAACTAGATTCGCATATAATTCAAGTTGGAACCCTCTGCTCGCACAAATCCCCTCCTCTGTCGAATGCTTGGCATGTTCATCTAGACTAAAGACTAGAAAAAGACACGGAACCTAATTCCATATTGCCGAATTAAACTCACAAAAGTATGCATGTGAAGATTGAGATTTGTTGTTGAGAGAAGGCAAATTAGTAAGTGAAAGCTACGTGGGAGGAGCAGCAGAACTGTAAACGAAAACACATTTATGTCAATTTTGTGCCATCCCAATCTGTCATCGTTCGTTGTTGCGAGGACGAACCGAAAAAGAAGGAAGGAAGATGCTGCTGTTGATAATTTAATGAGAACCATATTTCATGACAATCAGAATATTCTGAGCTACTCACCGTTAAATAACCAGTTTGAAAAAATAACCAATTTATCTCCTCCTCTATCCATACAATATAATCTAGTAATGCGCGAATAGTACTCGAATCGAAAAGCGACGTGTCCAACAACTTGAGTTTTCCAGAGTATTCGCGTATACATAGCTGGAAAATCTGGTAAATCCATTTAAAAATCAGTTTTATGCCGAGATAAACACACTTCTGTCAATCTGCTGAATCCTCCAGTGAAGCATCCTCTGAAAGGGAAATAAATTGCATTCGACTCAAGTGGGAAATTGAAAACCTTTCTCGAGGCAATAGTTATTAAAATATAATAACTGCGTTGCTTAAAAGGAAAATAATTTCAGTCCTTTCTTATTTTGGAAGTGATGAAGTTTTAAGGAGCAAGACAAACCGTCGTCCTCGCGTCTTAAAAATTTTACAACGTGTTAGTTCACCGAGTTAGATCGTGTCTACTTCAACAGGCAGAAAACTGGCAAGCACACACTACGCACATAATACAAACGCATAAGAGGGCTAAACAAATTGATTTATTTCTTGAATATTACTTGGGCAAGATCCGAGGACTTTGTGTAACGCTGCATCAAATAATTTATACCCAAATTGCACGCACTTAATAATCCCCAGAAGAGGTGAATTTCACCAAAATGTACATCTTTCCTGGTTATATCGTCTCTTAATTATATGAAAACTTGCTCCGGTCGTCCCGAACTGTGTAACACTATGCTATGGATTGTGCTCGTGTAAGTAAGTAGAGCTAATTATGTCGTGGTGGTGATATTGGTGTCTGTCTCAAGTGCGATGATTAATGGGAACAAATTTCTTGTTCATAATCCAGACTTTCACTCTTTGGAACAATAATAATCCCGATACGCACAGCTCACTTCACTAGAAATTTGCAGGGGAGCAGAAGGAATAAGCAGCAGCAAGTTATCGCCAAGCAGGCCAAGCTTGTGAATACACAATCTTGGGAGGAAGCACGTTTCCTGCAGTGAACCAATCTCTTTTATAATAAACGTTAAGATTATTATAATTCTGTGCTGTGGTTCGAAAAGTAGTAAGAAGAAGACGGATTAAAGGAGGAGACTCAATATGAATACCGTCTGGTTCCATTCAAAGATTTCAGAGTTTGAGTAGAAGAGTCGGACTTTTGCTTGATTCTGAACCACGCACTGTTCATCTCTTTAGATATATTTCACCTCCATCAAGTTGTCTACAAGTTCAGTTATTAACCTAACTCAACTAAATAACTGGCAGTTCAGTCCGTCTCAGCCTGGAGGTAAAACCATCGGACTTGCTTGCTAACCAACTTTTGATACTTTCAACATCCTTTTATCATCCTCATTCATAATTAGTTTCTCGTAACTCACCTCCACCAACCCCAGTTTAATCCAAAGCGCACTTCTGAGAGGACTACTTAATCCAGCGTGGAGCCACAACCTAATTTCATTAATAAAGCGACCTACTCACCAAAAACAGTCGGCAAGACCTAGCTGCAACGAACTGTGTACTTTTTCGTCAAATGCAGCAGCTCCATAGCGTTGGTTGAAACAATAATAATAGTCTAAATCTGACTATATGTAGTTGTTATTTGTATGACAATAATTGTAATAGAAGGATAGAGCATCAGCCTCTCGTCCTTGTGAGTGACAGACTATTGCGAATTCAAATCCAATCAAATTACAAAGTGTACACTCAATAAAGCAGCCAAGTGCCAGAGAGTGGAGGAGCAAGTTCATAATTGGAACTTAGTTTGAATTGAATAAGATCCAACAAATCCAACTCCAGACTCTCTCAGTGTCTCTTTCTATTGGAGTCGCAGCCATAATTTCATTGTTCTTCTGCGCCAACTTGGTCTTTGAGATTCTTGAAGGAACAGAAGGAGAAATGAGAAATCAAGTTGAAGTTGAAGTGTGCAAAAGCAATGAATAATGCGAGGTCCTTGTTTCACAAGTAGTGAAGCGTGGTAGTGGTCGTCTCCAACTTTGGATAGTTTATTATTATACCACCGGCTTGTTCCGTGTCCCAGTGTTGAGCACTTGATTAAAATGAAAATGGTGGTGAGTGGAAATGAACAACAAGATTGTGTGGTGGGGAAGGAGAACAGGAGAACAAAGTGTGGAAAGTCGGGAGGAGGATTATTGTTTCCAAGGAGGAAGCAGAGGACAGAGGAAAAGACATCCCAACAACACAAGATGATTTCGAGGATGGCAAAGTTGGCCGCAAAAGGGAAACAATGTCCTTTCAGCTTCCTTTTGCTCCTCACTCTCACAACCTGTGTCCCAGTTGTCTCCCCGAAAATCCTGGATCATCATGAAGGTACAGTTTTCTCTTTATTTCCCCCCTTTCTTTTCCCCTCTTCTTTTTGCACTTTCTCAATTCCTGCTCTCCAATGGGTCACTTTAAGTCTGCGTTTCTTCAATGCTGATATAATATCTGACCATTCCCTCTGTTTACAACAATAAGTGCCAGCTACCCTGGTCTCGGCTGGTCATTACTTTGCCTCAAACATGAAAAGAGAAAATGTTGCTACAACACAAAACTGAAATGATGGTGGTGGACAAACCGGGAGTAATATTGAGCACAGACTTTTGCTATTAGGTTTGTTCTTTTGTTATTAGTTAGCCATTCCAGCACGAATTGTAGCAAACTAATCAAACTCTTCTAGTGTGCAACCTTGAACGAGGCTTGGACCCTTTTAGCTGCTTGTAGTGTTACATATGTGCATTGTTCCGGTTTCCTACTGAAGAAGAAGCCATAATTGTATAGGTTTTTCTAGAATTTCCCAGCCTTGCATTCGTGGCAGTGTGCTTAGGCGATGTTCATTAGTTTGACACCTGCTCAATAGTGTTTGGTGTTTGAGCGGAAAACACTTTGGCAATGGACTATCTATCGTACGTACATACATCATACGCCGTATTGTTATTTCTTTCACTTTGCTGTTTGTCCCATATGTCAACTTCCTAAAACGTATCGTGTGCTACTACCCCTTTCCTTCGCTGCTATTATACCTTCGTCTTTCTTTAAAAGTGTACCGAGCTGTCTTTTCTTTCCCCACTTCGACGTTGAGTGTGTGAATGTTGGAGAAAGCTTCGGCCGAACTTTCTCTCACGTTGTTGGTTTTCCCAATTCAATGCACATCCGGCATGTACATACATGAAATGTCATGTGTTGAAACGATTTACGAACTTTTACTCTCTTTTTGTAGAAGGAAATAGTTTTATGTTTCCTAAATATAGTTCCATTGCACTGAAATTTTATCTCACAGTATTTTGTGTGCTACTCAGGGTTGAGTTAGGCTTGTTCCTTACGACATGGGAAACTCAACTGGAGTTAATTCAGTTTCACGAGTGAGTTTATTTTTTTGACGTAAAACTACACATGGGGAACGTGTTTTAAGAGTTTAACGGTTGCTTGCAAGGCTCTTCTTACTGGGAGAAAGCACAAACTGTACCCTTTTTTTGCAGTAAAAGCTAGAAAGATGCAGAATCATTAAACTTGTCTATATATGACAAAGGAAAAGAGCAGAGAATGCTTTACCAATTATGTTTTGGGCAGTAGCAGTGTGCCACTAATAACTGTACTTGCACACTCATTGACTTGACAGGACTTATCCCCTCGTTTAGGATTCTTTGCAACAGCTTTTGGTGCCTAAGCACGAGTCAGTAGAGTCAGTCAGTTACATTTCAAACTCTGAACTTATGTCCAAAGTTTGGTTTCCGGATATATTTTTTTCAGCATTTCAGAAAATCCAGTTTCTCTGCTTTTTCGGTGTCTAATGGTTGTCGTGAAACTTTTGTCATGTTGAAGTTGGGGTTCAAGGGCTTTACTTGCTATAGTTTATTCTTCCCACTTTCCTTCCATTGCACCAGAGCAATACCAGAGACGTTTGTACCATCAGCTTCCACAACCACACAATGATATATTTTCTTCACTGAAGTCCCTGAAAAATATTATGATTCAAGAATTCTGATTCAAGTTCAGCTCATAATCTCGCAGAACGAGAGGCAGCAAACTTATTATTTGTTATTATTCTTCTGCAATCTGTCGACACTGTTTAGTTCAGAGTTTCATTCGTGTTGTTGACGCTGCGATCAGTATACGTATTATACAGTATTCGGCACTTCTGTAAAACAACAAGCAGTTTTCTTGTGCATATACATTTTTTTTACCGATGCTGACGTATCTAGCTAGCAGCAGAGGAGTCCAAGCGTAGTCTGTAGTTAACATTTAAGTGTCAACTTTTGACAAACCAAGTGGTCCGACTGAGGATGATGAGTGGACTAAAAGACCCATCCATGCGTCTGGCTCGTTTCTCTGCTCTTGTGTGATTTTTGCGCTTTTCATAAGTTTAGAGTTTCTGACATTGACGGAGAGTGCAGTCCATCGGCTCTGTCTTTTTCTCGTTTTCGCTACACGCCCAGCTTGTCTAGATATTTCTAAAGTTTTGGGAAAATTTTGGTGCAAATGACAAGTGCGGGAATGATTTGGCAGATCGCACTTGTTTTTGAGCAAGTCACTGATACTACGAGGCGTATTAGTAAGTGTTAAATACCATGTTTTTGAAACTGGCTACATCCAATTTTACAATTTACTGAAATAAAATGGATCTTGGGTGCTCAGTGGTTTTTTTCTCTTCTTGGCACTCCCAGTGAATTCGTTAGCATACATAAATATATTCTCTGGCTCTTTAGCAATGACGCTTCTGCATGTACATTTCTCTTTGAGGTAAAGAAGAAATGCGAGAGAAACCACTTTACCACTTGTCCTATTCGTACTTTATTTTGTTTGTCATTTTTGAAAGATTTTCCTTCTGAAGTATTTCATGTGATAAATTACATTTTATCGTGCTGTGTATTTTCGTGATAGTGAAATCTTTCAAAAAATGAGCAAAAATGCAAACATGTACCGAGCAACATCCTGCACGCACCACAAAGTGTTTACAGAATCCATCTTTGAATTGGACTTGGAATAAAAGATTCGTGCATGCTTGGAAAATTGGGGAAGAAAGCTTCCATTGCAAATTGGTTCATGTCAGAGATATCGTATTTCCTCACTGCAATTTTCATACAACTCGGCTAAACTGGATTCCTCAACCAACATTGGAACTTTGTTCGAATAGGGGTTAGTTGAAGTTGTTGACTATGCCAAGTCGTCGATACTTGGTTGAGATGGTGGAGGAACAAAGTTTCGCAAGTCGGGCGTAATGTTTGTTGCACTACAGATTGCCTGGTGTGCTGTTGAGATTTGAAAGTTGAAAGCCGCAGATTTTATGGAATTGTGGGATTGAGAAGATGCATTAAGTTTAATGGAATGCAATTCCATCGTTTGCCTCTTTGTGCTACTTACTTGTGTGTACGAACGTATGCATTCAAGGGAGGACAGTATGTAGACGATCAAATTTCGTATGTGTAAGTTAGATCGCTCCGGTTTTACGGATCGAACAAGTTAAACTTTACCTAGGTTATTGGCTGGTTGGTATTGGTTTGTTCTGTTTTGGTGGTTATTTTGCAATACCTTGTTCATACATATGTGCATACAGGCACACACCATGCGGCTCCACCAGGCTATGCACAGACCACTCCAAATAAATAAATTCACTATTTTGCTTTCCTCTCACTCAATCTTTTGAAAGCTCATGTCCATGGATTGTCGGCAGAATTTAACACCACTCCACATTTGACAGAGTTCTGCCTTTGTTCAACTATTGTTATTGCTTTCTTCTATTTTTACACGGCTTGGAATCAGGTGAATTTCTACACGTTGTGTCATAAATGAATTCGTGACTACATAACCGTGTTTATGAATTGTAGGGATGTGCATATACATACCATAGCTTGTCGTACTTCATCTGCTTTTGTACTCAAAATACTACCTAAATTGAAATGGAATGTGTCGAACCTGCTCGAATTCGTAAATGAGAAAGTCGACTTTTCACGGACAAATGATTCTCATATGCAAAGCGTGAATGCAGGCAGGAAGGGAAGTGATGGGACAATTTACACGGCCGAAAAGACGTTTCGAATAGTCTACAAATTCGAATCTCGTGCGTATCGCGTGTTCAAAAATAGTACACAATTCTTTTCCATTCTTAGGCAACTGGGATGCCTTATGTTACTTTTATTCTTTACCATAATTTGGTAAGAAAGAATGTAAGCCTGTCGTGCCTATTTAAAAAAAGTGTCAATTACAGGTTTCACTATTTTACAGATTTTAGCAGTTGATCACAAATTTTCTAATCTACGATAAGCTATGTACATACTACAGGAGTAGTGGGTAAATATTTTCTTTATCATCGTTTACATAACCTTGGACCTATTAGAATTTTATAACAAAAGTCATGAACGAAGAAGACTAATTGGATTGACATCTTTTGTACCCGTGTTGGTGTTGCTGAAACTAGAGACGTATAACAAACACAATTTGAGCATAGATGCCAATTAGGAAAGTTTACATTGATGGTGCGGTGTTATCGCATTGTGTCTGTTTCAGAATTATATAATTTAGAAAATGTAATCCAAAACTTGGAGTAAAATGAAACAATGGACAGCGAGAAGTTCATTGTTTGGTGTTGTGACGTCATCTCTTCTCATAGAGTTCGAGCTCCTTATTATAATTATCTGTCTCCAAGCAAGCTTTCTTCTGTTCATCCCCAAGTCCACCGTATTGAAGTCAACTCGGGTACAGTGACTCTTGGGCGTCTGAAAAGAAAATCCATGTCCAACTTCAAATGAATTGAATTTTAAGATCTTTGTTTTCTCTCTTTCAAAATTGCGGTTTCTTGAATAATGCATTTTATTCTTGGAAACTATTTTGTTTTTGAGGGGAGTTGGGAATGATATTCTTCACCCAAGTGCACTGCACCGTCGTCGGATGAATAACGACAGCATGTTATTCTTTCGCTCGGAAATCTTTAGAATTTACAGAATTTAAGATGCAGGAGACTTCCGTCAGTCAGACAGCCAGGAAAAAGGAACTACTGGACTCAAACTTAATACTGTCTTCGTATCTAGAAAATTAAATGTTTGCTCTCCCTCATTGTGAGTAACTTGTTATTTAGACGAGGGGCTCAAATTCGTGGAAATATATAAGAAGGATCCCCGTATATAGTAGTCTTTCATTATTTGACAGTGTTTGTCTTGAACTGCACTGAAATTTTCCTGGGAGAACTGAAGACACTGCTTCAGCACCCAAACAGATAAATAAATGCACGCAAGGAATGGGTGCCAAGATATTTGCAAAGCAGAATTTAATCAGAATTTCAAGTGGGCAGCTACTTCACCAGATTTCTTGTTGTCTCGAGGCTTATTGTCAACTTAATGTATTAGATTGAAATATGCATGTAGTTGAATAAATTATACATTTGTAATGTAAAGTACAAATACCTGGTTTGAGGAAAAGGATTTTTTAAACGTGGACTTCAAAGTTATATTCCGAATGAAAGACTAGAATTATTAGTTTTGGAGCTAATATGACAGTAAAAGGAGTATGGGGAACCATTGTAAATTTCGCCCAATAACCGTACAAAGTTGGCTTGCAACTGCCTCATTTATATATTTTCTATAGTGCAGAAATTCGCGTTGTAGATGTGCACATCTAGTTACAAAAAATATTTTCATCTTCTTTTACAACTCTCTTTTCCTTTCTCTGAGTCGTATTGCATTCAATTTGCGTCCAACTCTGGAGAATGAAATTCGTCTCGCCTCCTTGTCCAGGGCTCCGTCGGCGTACTTACGATTAAAGTATCGATGGAGAGTGAAAAAATGCTAATAAATCCTCCGAGACACCGCAATGAACAGACAATGACTGGCGTGCTCTTATAAAAATCTCATTTGCATGAGCCCTTTGTAAACCCTGTTATTAAGATTATTAAAAGAAACTATTAAAATAAATTAATGCATTTTTAATATATTGTGATGATTGGTTTGGCGTCTTTACGGTTCGTATCCTTATTAATATTCTGACTGGGAGAGCAACATACTAATCTCAGGTTGAACAATAAACAGGAAATGATAAAGGTTTGATTTTATCAAATAAAACTCATAGTCAGTGGACAGTGGTAATCAGTTTTATTTTGTATGCACGCATCAGGCGGACACACTGAAAAGGATAATTTTTTCCTTCCTTAGCTTTGAGATAAATGATTTTTATCAATGCTTTTTAGACAAAAGTCACAATAACTGATTTGTTTGTTTCTATTAATTAGCATCAAAGTACTTATTTCAGTTATTTAAGTAGTTTATAGTCCCAATTGATGGGAAATAATCTCTCAGTAGCTACTACCCTGGCCTGTGACCTTTTCGTTATGTGTTTTGTAGATTTGGAAAACATTACTTCTACTGCAAAGTTATGTGCGAGTGTAAACAAATTATGCAATCTCTCTGGGCCGCATTGCCTTGACAAGTTAGTGACACAACAACGACAAAGTTGAGTAAATCCGTGCTGAGAATATATAAATCTTTGAAACTACTAACTCTGCGTAACTTCGTCTGTGTATTTCCTACCTGATTAACAATTAATGCTGCAATGGGATTAACTGTGATTGACTTTTTGGCATTTGTGTAGATCCGAATGTGGTTTATTTTCAGTCACAAAATAATTCAATTGCCTTACTTTCTGTAGTCCTTTATGCATGCAGTGAGAACATGTTCACAGTAAATAAACAGTAACAGTTGTGGGTACGTATGATTTTATTTGATAACTTGGGAAATGTGCAAATATGTTGCAGCAACTGTCTGGCGTCCACAAACACATGTTTAATTTATCCTTTTTACTTGACGTCAACCCAAGCTATTGGATTGCTATAAAAAGACGTCAGTTTTTTCTGTTTCTAATTTCGTTCTGAAAATTGCATTGGAACCCAGTTATCTTTGTCTAATTGGAGGACGTTATGCAATATTTAGAGCTCTAACCCACTCAATCTAATTTTCAGTCACGCGATAAAGTCCTGACCATACTGACCGGACTGTTCCATAAGAACATAAGAAATTCAGCATTTCCATAAAAGTTTTCATAATGGGAAACAATTGCTATGATGACATAATTGCTGTCAAATGTGGGCGGTTTAAAACGATTGTAAGGCAAGTCAGCAGTAGTACAATTTATTTAATAACACGATGAAAAAGTGGTACATTGATTAATCGACAGGATTTCCATTAATTGCAGCTGTGCGAATCTAACACAGCGTCATTCATTGTCCCCATGTGATCTGGTAAAATGTTCAAACTATGATTTAGCAATGGGTAGATTTTGTTGACCTATTACATTCGTTTTTATTAACCCTTCGTAACAAGACCCAAATAAATGGGCATGTCGAACGGATTGTTGTGCATCGCTTTCCTTTGTAACATTTGCGTAAATTTTGGGCATCCCCCCAGAGTGGCAGAGAAAGGGAGAGAGAGGAATACTCCATCTATGTCCCGATCCATTTGCTGTTTTTACTGCAAACAGCATTATATCAACGGAATATGGATCCCTGTCAAACGAATCGGATTGTATCCAAAGTTGGGTTTGGATTTTGATGTTATTGAGGTTAGTGAGGCGGATCTGCCCCACTTTTGCACATTCTACTATCCGAATATCAAACTTCAGTCTGACAAAGTTTAGTGATTTTAGGAGAAATTGATCCAAAGTTGAGGCGAAAGCAACCAACATTCAGGAACAAATGTTGCATTTACTGGCAATCATATATCATCTGAAAAAATCACATTTTTGATCTTTCTGACATCTTTTTTCCTGTGTTGGATGGAGCAGAGCAGATCCTTTGCTGAGTTCTTCCCAGCAGCCTCTACATAGAATACATAGAATATTGTGGTATAGATAAATGGATTTACCAATACCAGAGAACAAGTCGGGTATATAGGTATGCAGCAGAAAATGCCTTTGTGATTCCATCCCACAACAATAAAACCAAATGAAATAGATACAGAAGTCGAGTCAAGAAGACGAGCAGTAAGTCGAAGCAGTGAACTAATCCATAGCGGATGCTCGTTAGTTGAACTATTGGGAAGACGATCCTAGGTATGTACACATACACATACATATCTGGACAGCATTATTCGACTCCCTATCTCGCTCTCCACATAAATGCACTTTCGCGACTCGTTCTTCTCCAAGTTAGGAAAAAGGAGGTAAATAAATCCTAATTTTTTGCCGAGCTTCTCCTCATTGCAATTCGGTGATCTTTACTCTGACCACTCATGTGTAGTTTTAGAAATCCTCTGCTGCCAGACTACTTACTGCACATATCTACTAACCCACCTCTCAATGGGTTCCTTCGGTCCAGTGAAATCAAAAAGAGAAAGCATTATTTTTGGTCGCTTCCAATGCAATAAAGTGCCATTGGCCTGCTTGCCTGTGTATGGTTGAGATTATACTTTCTGCCCTCCGATGCTCCGATGTAGCGAACGGAGATAACTCAAAATGTCCTATTCAATGAAGGAGCAAGCTTCCAGTTTCTCTTTTCGGCTGTCAACATGTGCGCCTTATTTTTATTGCGAAAAGGGAAACAAAAAAACTGTCGTTTTCGGAAGTTGGATGTGAATTTGGATTTATTTGTTTGATACACCAAACCACCATTTCATACTTGAGATGGTAATACATTCCACAATCTGTTGGTTACTTGGAAAGTAATGAAAGCAATAATCAATATTAATCTTTGTATTAAGGTTACTATGTGCTCACAGCCAAAAAGCATATAGCAATGTATTTAGTTGTACTGGAATTGTGTGGAAAGGCAGCAGCAGCAGTGGTGCATAATGGCTGTGGAAGACCAGCCAGCCAGCAGATCCAAAGATGAAAATACATCTAATTCCCTGCTCAATATCCAGTAAAAGACGTTGTGGAGGTTTTGAAAGAAAGCCCGAGGAAAAGGACAAACAGCTCGAGCTACTTACGCGATTCTGGACTTTTTCTCTCCCTAATATCTCCTTTTTCCGTATGATTGGAAAGAGGGATCGTTAATAGGACTAAACTCTACTCTTGAGGGGCATAGCTACATAACTAAATTTATAATAGAAAGGGTATAAGTGGTGGCCGTGGTGGTGGTGGATCCAGTGAAAATGGATTTCCACCCCACACATAAAGCGGTATATGTAAGAAGAAGTATGTATAAGAAGAAGAAGAAGCAAGCAACTCAGAGAACGAACTTTGCCTGCAAGAAAAAAGTGGCCAAGTTGGAGCAAGTCTTTCAATTAATGAAACGGATTGATTGAGAACCCAGATATTGGAGAGTGCGGAGCCAAGGCCCAAATCGGAGTCGACGAAAGCTGGCTCATTTGGCGTAGAAACATATAATGAAAGAAATGGTTCAAGTTTATTTCTTGTTTCGTTCCCAAAGTTCTCAACTTTTAACAAACTATCAAACTGCTACTTACAACAGAGTCTGATTTAATATAGCTAATGTTGTTTATTGTTCACTTTTTTGCTCATCATTTCCATGCAATCAACCAAGTCCTAACATGACGATTATAATTTATACATAATACGCATATAAATATGTATCTACGCTTTCCTTGTATCAAGAAGAGAATCAAACTGACAAAGACACTTTTCCAGATCTTTTCTCACATTTTCTACATGTTCAGTTTATCTCTATTTTCTCCAATTTTAGAAATTCTAAAAAAATATCCGACTGCACTTTGCGTACATGTGTAACTCTCCGAAGAAGATGCATACATCTGTATATGTATAATAACGACCTCGTCTCCTTATATTATTCGTTACGCCGTCGTTGGTAATAATATTTTCCCCTTCTGGCAGAACCTAACAATCTCATATCACATCGTTAGCGGAGACATGAACCAAGGAGATCATCATAACTTGAAAAGATATTTTTTCGTCTCTTCGTTTCCTCGAATGGAGAGAAAGCTGGATTGGATTGGAATTCTTTGTGAATTTTAAAAATCGTGTTCGCACATTCTTCTTCTTCCCTTCTGCCCAGCCATTGGATAAAATGTCACGCCATGTGGGGGTGGTGTTCGGTTGGAAGCTACGTTCTCTCCGTGAATGCATGTACATAGTTGTGATTTGAAGTTTTGATGTAATGTAAAGTATAACGACGATAAAGTATTATTGTCCCAGTGGGAGGGTTTCGAAATGTACTTTTGGCAATTTATAACCTGGGCGAGAAAGCAGACAGGATGGGGGAGAGGTGGCATGGGGCTTTTGTCATCTCATTACCAAAGAAAATTTGAAGTATGAGAAACTCAATTTAAATGCGCTTTCCTATTTCCATTCTCATTTGTTAAGGAGGTATTATGCATGTGTAAATTAATTAATACATAATAAGTTTCTGGGGAAGTTTAAAGTGCATGCACGGATATATGTAGATATGCGTGCTTTAACCCGTCGAGCGAGAGTGGGTTGGATTGAACTGGAAAGTATTCTATATATATGTATGTATACATGTATTCTGGTGGGTATGCACATACATACCCAGCAGAATATACGGTGAGCCACTTATCATTTTTATCTTAACGGTGGAGGTGTATGTAGTAGACAAACTCAAACAACTGCTGAATAATCCACCCTTTCCTTGTATTTGTTTTCAAAGTTTTTGATATCAGGAGTAAAGTAAACGAATGGAGAGTAAAAGTCAACTCTGCTCCGTCCTCTGGAAAAATGTAATGTGAGTAAACAGAGAGGATTGGGCGAAGGAGAAGTGAAGGAACAAGGCAAACGCGACCACTTTCAGCCCAACCAATGCTCAGAGTGTTTTATTGAACTTGTTCCTTGTCCCCATGTCGCTGCTCTCGGGCTGTGTGTGCTTTTTATGCTCGCGTTCAATATCGATAATTGAAAGAAAATTCAATAGATCTTGGGTGAAAAGTTGGGTGTCTCTCAGTAAACATTGGTCAACCCTTACTAATGCATGTAATGTAATAGCATGAATGTAATTGAATTGGTTTTTTTGGATATGGTTTGGAGTATAAAATTGATATATGTAACACCACCATGGAAAACCAGGTAACTCTAAATCAACCCTTTTGAACAGTTTTGTCCGGCTTGTCGTTACGGAAATTATTTTCCCAGTTCTGCTATCCTCGACTTATCCTTGCTACTGACCATTCAGTGAAAGTTGTCGACTGTGACAGGGAAACAAGGAGTTTGACACCGTGAAAAGGCCGATGCTTTCCATTATTTCTATATCGTCCTGGTTTGCGTACTTGACAAAAGTCAACCACTCGTTCCTTTTGTCCCGTCTCACATGCTAATTTTGGCTTTTTTCCGTTGCACAATTTTACGCCACTTTTGACACCATAAACTTATTCCAACACTTCTCTGAGTGATAACAGTGAGGAAATAGAGTGCATGAAACGTTGTGTTTTCAGTTTTGTAATTTTTTGAGTCGTAGTCGATCAAATATTCAAATTCTATTTAAAGATAGTTCAATATTTACCTTTCCACCTGTCTCGTAATCCCACCGTACGTTGCATTTGGACTTGCCCTCGATCAAAGTTGGAAAGCCTTGCATTCAAAATTGACTTCAGATAGAACATACGCGCCCTGAACGAAAAATTGGGAAAATATTGTCGTCCAGTGGGCTGAACGAATAGAAGCTGAAATTATATTCATTGAAACGTCAAACATTGTTCATAGCGTGGCTGGTGTGATCGTAAAAACTATGGAATAAGAGCAGTAAGACAAAAACTGTCACACATAGTCCTCGTGACAACTCCATGTTCCGTACAATAATAAACAACCTCTGTTTGGGATCCTTAAATATTCATAACTGTCATGTGCGATCAAGCTGCCGCCCTCAGTCGGTCACCCTCAAGTCACAATGAATGCTTGAACGCCCACATTCTAATAGCAAATTACGTATACATATGTGTATTCTGTCAGCCGCCGCAATTCTAGGGCTGGATTTGTCATCATGATAACAGGTTGTGCAGAAATTTCGATTTTTCCGTGTATTTAGTAAAATTCCACGCCCCGATAATTTACTTTGTCATTACGTATTCGCTATATGCTCATATCTTACTACACTATGTGTATGTGACCGCTATATTGGGTGCATGTACGCCATATGTATATGTGAGAGAGATGGCATTCTTTTTGGCGAGTAGTATGTACATATGTGCGTAGTGCTTATTTCCATGAATTAAAGTTCCATTAGGTTGATTGCTATCTTGTCATTTTCTAACGTTACATCAATTTGTTCTGCGCCAATTTAATCCACAATTTAGGGCAACTATGCAATTGTTATTCGGTTAAATTGGGCAATCATTCAAGTAATGGCGCAAGTTTAATTGAACGTGTACCGCCCACAACTCCTCAGCATTTATAGTATATCACCTTCTTCATACAATTAAATGAAGACAACGCACGGACGTAAAAATGAGACAAATTTGTAAAATAAACTTAATGAGCAGTGTATGAATCACCGACCATTCAAAAAGAAGAGCTCGGGTTGAGAGATAGCCATGACAAAAGTGTTATTTGTCTGCACGGAAGGAGATTTTGAGGCGTCATTTCTTGTAAAGTGAGATGTGCTTGGGTTTGTTAAATAGAATGAGGAAGATCATTAAGAAATTCACTTGAGGTGGTAGCCTGTAATAAACGCTTGCCGCTCTCCTTTATACATCGAATGCTGAATAGCGCTCAAGTTTTTTGGATTGTCAGTCTCCTCTCGCAAAAAAAACTTCTCCTACTAATGCATGTACCCCACAGCCTCGTCTCATGAATGTTTCCCCAGCCACCTTTTAGTGAATTAATCGACAGAGCAGTCGTTGCATAAGGCTGGGATGTGGGGAAACATAAAAAGTGGAAGACTTTAGTTTTAAAACTGGCCAAAGTTTTCGTCAATCTGGATCCTAAATCTCGGAGGCTGTTGATCTAAACCAAGGTTCAATTTAGTTAAAGAGCCGTTGAATGAGGTTGATGGCTGATGTTGATGCTGACAAGGAGAAAGATGCGGGTGGTATAGTGGTAAATTATATATGCTCCCATCCAGTGCAGTCAATTTCTTCTCGCCCTCTCCTGTCTAAACAGTTTAGTTAGTGTAACCCAAAGTAATTGGATGTTTGATGAAAATCATTATCAAAATTCAAAGAATGTTTCAAACACCTCTTGCATCAACAACCAAGCCAACACTTGCTTCAAATGTGTTTTGGCAAACACCCGCACTTTCATGCAAAATAAATGTTGCAGCATCAGCAAAGAATTAAATAAGGTTGGAAATTGTCTTACGTGTGTGGGTATATGTATGTTCCGAGATTGCGTGTTCAAATGAACACGATACGTTCATTTTAGTTCATCTGAGAGAGAGAGAGGGAGAGATTCAATTAAGTGAAGTAATTATCAAGAGTTTTACTCTTGCGTGGTTGTGACAAGTTATTAAGAAAGAAGCAGAGACACAAGTACGTACGTACAGCTTTCCAAATAAAGTGAAAGGACACTCGACACTATAAGCAGAAAAGTCAACTTTACTTTCTCCGAGAATCTGACAACCAAAGCAACCATCGTCGTTCTCTTATTCTGCCACCATGATATGAACTCTCTCATCGTGCAGCTTAGAGGATATAGTGACATGGCTTTGCTATTATTATTAAGCTGGTGCTGGTGCTGGTAGGATGAATGACGTTGAGTATGAAGAGGCACGAAGAGGAAAGATGAGAGGGTTGAGTAAATAAATTGGGACAACAACAGTGAACAACATCATTTATCGTGGGGACTATATACCGCTCGTGATACTGGTGGTGGGAGGAGGAGGAGGAACGACAAATCAGGGCACAGTTCCATCAACTCCATGCGCGCACTGTAGTGTTTTCAGAGGAAAGATAACGAATTTAGTGTTTTTATTTAATGAGTTAATTTCCGAGAGATGTGTCGAGAACTTTCAGTGTCTAATCGTCCAATTTATATTGAATGAAGGCTTCGTTTTAGTCTCTGCCCAATCTTACCATTGGCATCGCATGACCTGAAGGGAAGAGTCATCGTCTTTGTCCTCGTCCCATTGTTGTCTCACGGGTGATGGTTTCTGCTGCTGCTGCTGTTGGATTAAGAAAATGTCTGCAGGATGGGTTCAATTTAATGTAATTGAAAAACATTTGACAATGTACCTTTTAAGAGCGTCTCGCTCGTCGTCATTTGGCTGAGTTGCTTCTGTTTCATCCCCATTAAGTTGGGTGACAATCAACTGAAGCAAGTCAAAACTATGCTAGGATAATAATGATCCTTGTTCAAAGGACGAGTGAACAACTTTGTTAACTCAACTTGAACTGGGCGAGGTCCAGCATTCTTCTTTATTTATTCAAGGCCAGGGAAATTGTCCAATTGAATTGACTCGTTCCAACTTGTTCTTTAAGAGCACATCAAAATATGTGTACGCAACATACATACGACTATTTTGTACATGCATGTATTTATAAGTTTGTCAGAAATTCATACTTTCTAATGTTTGACTGGAAGGAATGTAGGTTGAACTGCTGCAGTAATAGTTATATTTGCATACCCACATTTATTGGTATTCTCGGGTCTTCATGAAAAGCTACACTAAATTCTAACTACTTGCATGCATATAAATATATAGCTGCTCAACTTGTTTTTCAGAACGCGGAGAGTAACACTAACTCATTCGGAGGAACATTATCATAACTTTCGGAAGTATGCAAATGAATTGAATCAATAACAGTTTAGACTCGAGCAGCAGCAGCAGAAGCAGTAGTAGAACGTAGGTTCTCGTAAAGTAAATACCAAAGAAATTATTATTTGAACAGGGAATTCCGGCAGTAAAAGGAAAATATGTATGAACATGAGCGATTGAAGTATCGGCTCCTCATCCATTTCTGAATCTTTTTCCAGGCAATACACACACACACAACATGCACTTGAAGAGAATGATAATCTTGATGTTTGATGGGAAGCAGAAGTGTTATTTCTATTTAAAGTGAGGCACTGGAGACTTAAAGTCTTGAGTCTTGATTTTTACGAGTATTTCTCATCTATTTTACAGCACCAGTTTATCTCTACTAATGCACCCCGTCGTGCCCAAGTCGATAGAATATCAAACTCATTTCTTTAAAAACACCTGCTCAGCCAAGCTTATTTACCATCACATCTTCTCGTACATACTACTTTATCACTTTACATTGCCCTACACGTTACCTTCAGTTGCGGTGTCGTGCTTGTTATAGTTGTAGAATTTAGATGCCAGATAAATTTTCATCTTTTCCTTGGGAGCGAAGGGATTTGGACGGAAACAGAGTTGGTGGACTGGATTTGTAGATAAGTGTAGGCTACAGACGCTTGGAGGCACATCACCATAATATCTCAAAGTGAGGCGAAAAGTCCAGTTTACAGCCCTCTGAATACTACGTACGTAATAATAGAGTCCGAGTTCCGTCAGGTCTCAAAAGTCTCAATCGTTTTCATTTTCAGTTTAGCAACAGCACCCTGCGGCTTCTGTTACTCTTTTGTTGATATAATGTTACCTATGGCATTTTAGGACGAGGATGACGCGGGTTGTTGTTGTTGTTGTGGTCCTTAGTTTATTTTTATACATTTGTATCATGCTAAAATTACACTGAATTTTAGCAGTTGAAACCGTTGCAGACTTGCAATTACAATCATCTAAACTGTTGATTCAAGTCCACATGCAAATGTACATACAAATCACAGTTGGATAATTGGTACATATGCTACAGGGATACTGGAAAGGACAATCAGTATAATAAGGAGGACTTGTTATTGAAAAAAGGTTGACTAATTAACTCGACAGAAATAAAATAACAGATCTCTTTTCACTCCCAATGTGACGTTCTCATTACGTGTAATTGGATTTAGATTTTCCTTGTTGTTTAATGCAAAGTATATTATTTCTGTTTTAAACATGAGTCTCATTTCAGACTAGAAACGAGAATTTATTTCCGTCTCTCCAACGTGATGAAATAAGATGTATGTGAAGCTGGCAAGACAACTTTTTATCATGTTCTAGTCCAATTAGAGGACTAAAACAAATTCACGGTGGATGTTTGGCATTTATTACTTGTTAGCTGATCAGGGAGATAGAATAGTGCTGCTAAAACGTTCAATTGTTTATATCAACTTGAATAATAATACCACCTCACAGTGAATCATGTTTTATTTGACCAATTAACATTCTCTATCCAAATAAAAGATGAATAATAATTTCTGCTCTTTGTGCTGGCTGGATATAAATCCTGTTCTGGTTTTAGTCCAGTTTTATTGAATAAAAAAACAATAAGGTCGAGACGCTCTTTAGGAGCCGTATACTTTTATCCTCTGAAAGCAGCATGTGAAACACAAGCTGTTGGTGGCATCTTTTAAATTCAATGTCATCCACATGCACAACCCTGAATTTTCCTTATACTCCTAATGAAATAAGGGCAACAGTTGGTGTCTTCTTATATGATTTTGGTGTTGAATGGAGATCTCTCTTCAACACTACGCTGTCTAGTCTGGGTTTATATACGTATGATATATACGCTTGCTTCTGGTAGATCTGATTTCTTGAATTTAGTTTCGTTGGTATTCATTACTGACAAAGGGTTTATTGTTGGCTCACGTAGCATGAATAGAAGTGAAAATCTGGAAGTTCAAGTTGAAAGTCAAGCATAACTATTATGCTGGGAAACTTCTCGTTTTGACTTGCACCACATTATGCGATTCTCTCATCTTCACCAAGATGAAGGGAACGTATTTACTTTAAGATGTGAATTGGAGGGATATGCAGAGACGAAGTTGATCCAGAGAGCGTTTGAACTAAGCCTTGCATAAGCAAAACGTGTTACGTATTTATTTACAGTTTGAATTTGATGAGTAAAGTGTTGAATTATTATAAAAGTAATAATGATAATGAGACTGAAGGACCAACCAACCGCAACGTTTCTAACAATAAGTAATCAATACTAATACTACTTACGGGGCAATAATATCACAGCGGATGGGCAGGGTCTCATCCTTAGAAGCAATTACTCAAGAATTCGATGAAGGGTTAAGCAGCTGAAAAACCTCAGTGTTCTCGATGGAATAATAAGACTACAGGTAGAAAGATTGTATTCAGCATCTGTGCAGTGTGTGAAGACGTGGAAAAAGAAGAAGGTGGAACGGTTCCTTCCCTTCTTGTCTGGATTTTAGGAGGTGCAGAAGATGCCCAACGATCGTACACATAGAAATACCTTCCCTTACCTTGCGTAATGATCCTTTTTTCCTCTCCAAGTTGGGGCCCATCGTCGTAGTGTCGAATCTTAAGAGAGCTTGTTCCTCCTGGGTAGGGACAGGTGCAAGATTTAGGTGAAAGAAGCAAGCAGTAGAATTTTGAATAGAAAAACAATGTTTTGAAAGGCAGCAAGCCCCAGAGAGACATCACAGCCTTTAACGAGCAGGATTAAACTGATTTAAGTTAACCCAGGGAGTTATAAGTACCTACTTAATGTACGTATCTGAATTCATACCAGGAAATGAGAGTGTTCTGCTCATCGGTTTGACGCAAAACTCTTCCAATGCGAATTCAAATATATCACATTGTCAGAGGAAATCGAGACATTAATAACTGTTTACTCTTAAAATAATATACATAGATCACCACCCTGTTGTCAAGCTTTGGAGAGGAAATGGCGCAAAATAAATTACTTATTAATCTATATTATGTATTCGAGGACTTGAACTCTGTGGAGTTATGCGCATCATGCATAGGTGTGCATAGTACATACATATGTTGTCCATTATTCACAAACTGCGTGAAAATGTAAGAATGACCATGATGTGTATGCATGCACAATGGGACCCAGGACGACCATAAACATAATAACCAATTTGCACATACTAGGCACACACGCAGAGCAATTATCGCGACGACGCACACTTTTAATCAAACCTGCTACATAACAATCCAATCAATGCGTGATTTACATTTTGCTTCATTCAAGGAAAATAAATTGCAAGCCAGCGATGGTCACTAATTACTGAATTACCGTAATTCGCTTCAATTAATTACAAGCGGTAGTAAAACTTGATGATGCTTGTGGAATCTGAACAAACCTGCAACTTGTAAATATTCATAAAGCGGGAGTGAAAAGAATTGGTCCAGTCCACGGATTGTGGTTTTCGCTCTTCCTGCAACTTCCCTGCTGCTGCGGAAGGTTCGACCTGAATACTTTTGGATGCTTAGTGAATGCAAACCCCGAAATGCGCTTATACATTCATTGATGACCGAAAATAGGAATTTTGTGTATTCATTGAGCGTTTCAGCGTGTGAAATATGGTGTTTTGGTTAGAAATTTATCAAAGGCTTAGAGTAGTTGAGTTCGAGGGGCTGAGGTTCCTCAGTTGTTCTCCTACCGTTCCTCTCTCTCTCTCTCTCTCGTCTCATGAACGGTGGTTTTCTTGGTCGCAGTGCTAGCTGCTGGCGTGAATCCATGTTAACTGAATTACCGCGGGGGAATTAACACAATGCAGGCCTGAAATATGTTTTACATGGAATAGGAATAGGATTTGTGGAAATTTGTCATTTGCACTCAATGCACGTCCTGCTCACTCATTCTTGGCTTTATGGCCCGGTCGGTCCTTCGATCACTGCGACTGACTCTCGGGTGCTACTCTGCTGAACGGTATATAGAGGGCTAAAAAGCGGCGATCCCACTGCTCCTTCTTGATACCACATTATATTGTGCTTGGCCTATTCCCAACTTGGATGCCATTGTGCTACGAGGATTTCCTTATGCTGAATGTCGAACGACTTCAGAGATACTTGTTATTCTGAATCCAATTCGGTTCAACTGGGTGCTGTTTAGGAAAAAGCTAGTTTTCCTTCTCTCCTCGATTCGTGACTGCAGATGAATCGTGGAAAGTTGCTTAGTTGGTCGGCTACTAAGCCTTCTCCGATTTCCGCTATCCAAGAAATATTTCTCCTCAACCTGCATGCAGTTTAACCTGACAGTGTGATCTATTTGACTTTTTGTTTTCAATAGAAACTCGCTCAAGACATTTATCTGCCTCTGCTGGACAATAGCCATCGTCGTTCGTATACTATGCTCACTAGCGGTGGGGTTGAAATGGGGGGAGCGGGTGGTGTGTGCATGAACTGGTAAAAAATCTCTGAAGGCTTTCATTTCAAAAGAAATTAATTACCACACGCACAAACGTATGGACACATTGAAATACAAGTTGTATCGTGGTTATCGTGGTATTAAGGGAACAATGAGAATGCATAATACTCTAAACAATTAATATT